CCTTCGGATGGAAGCAGCAGCGCTTGCAGTCCCCTGGCATCCACACAGGGCTGCATTGCACGTAAAATGTTACTGGAAATGTGCCTGTAATAGCAAGTAGTTGTCGGGGTGGCAGGCAAAGATTGGAGAGAGAAAGTGCAGAAAAAAAGGAACACGTGACGACAGCACCCCTGCTTGATAATCAAATCAAGACATGCTTAAGTTCGGTGTAGGGCCGCGGGTCCTCAACTCTGGGGCGGCCGGAAGATACGTTCAATAGCTGCTCGACGACGAGTGGACTGATAATGGAAAACGAGGCATTGTCTGCAAACATCCAAAAAATAACAGGTAGTGGAAGAGAAATCATAGCGGTGGCAGGCTGCCATGCCTGTACCAGTAGCAAGAGTACTGATTGTAGCAATAACCCATGGCATAGCAGGGCAGCGGTGAGAGCAAAGCAGCAGCAAGCGTTGTTCAAAGCAGGGTGGTAGAGGCAGCAGCAGACGTAGCAATAGAAGTAGAAGTAGCGGCAACAGGCAGCAGCAGCAGCAGCAGCAGCAGCAGACAACTGCTGTCCCTCCACTATTGAAACTATTGGCATGGCGGCCTGTGGCGTGGCCGATAGAGCCTGTCATCGCTTCGTGTGGCTTGCTTTTCTTTTCTGCATTGGCTGTTATAAGGGATCCACCATATACGTTTGCCTGCACCAGCATCTGCGTATCACATCCTTGGAGGAACAGCCCCAACTTTCTCTGGTGTTGCAAAGGTTGACTGACTGTAGTTCAAACACTTCAAGCCCTTCGTCCATGTTCGAAAGACAAAAGGAATCCTTCACCTGAGCGTGAGCGGGCAAGTCCATGCTCTCCAACCGTAGAGGTCAGGGGCATCCGTACGATGCACAGGAATCATGAGAGGGCTCTTGGAAAATACACAGGGCTGAGAAAGATTACATAAACTCAAACCGTACGTGACACTGAACCATTTGGCCCACAGCGCACTCCACCCACACCCGGCCTATGGACGGCAAGCCATCTGGACCAAGCTCTGCCGTCGTCGTGCACTGCGCAGCGTGCTGCGATTGAAAACACTTAGAGGTCTTAAGGGAGCCTTGCCCTCCACTCGGAGCTGCCCGTGCCCCACACCTTCCGCACAGGCCTGTGTTAGGGGCCCCATAATTCTTTGATTGAAACTTGTTCACACCATATGAAAATCTTCACGAATATTAGACGCCTCATGGGCCACAATAAAAAATCAAACCTGATTTAGCGGACCACTGCTGCGGAACGTGGTGGAATCCGCCCTGGAGCTCTACATATTCAGAGCTGGCATGACGGAACAAAGGTGCTAGGATCTAGGTGCGTAGACTTCCAGCTGGGTCAATCTTTTGTCCACCTGCTTAGGTCAGGCACGCAAGACTTCAGAACTCGTGCAGCCACTTCTGAGCCCAGCCACGGTACCAGAAGGCGTCTCGAGTTCAACGGAATCCTGCCGGTGAGGTGTCTAGAGGACGCCTGAAATTGTCATGAACAAGTGCTTTCGCGCCAAATTCGCACGTTGTTGCTGCTGGGGCAACTGTTTGTAAAGAGATGCCACGGACATCAAATGCGAATCATTTGCAGCTCGTATGCTGGGGCAGACCTTGTACTGTAAGCTTTGAATAGTTGGGGCAGGCTAGTGGGCCGGAAAGAACTGGGCATGTGATGCCTTTAAGAAACAGAAGAGCGCGGGCTCAGGCATCGGCACTTAACATTTGTCCGTTCTATCATCAGAAGCTGAACAGCCTGGAATGGATTGCCGGCTTATCGGCTACCCAGGTGGTGAACATCCCTAAAAGTTTCTGACATAAGCCTCGAGTGTTCCCCAAACTTGAGCATGAGCTCATAGATAGGCTGCCATAGCATCCTGCAATAAACCTTCAATAATTGTACATGTTTGTGCCAGGTTTGTAATTCTTGGTCCACCAAAGTCGAAAGGAAATATATACTCTCACCAGCATTCCCAAAAAAACCTATCTGCACTCCCCCGAAACCAGGACTACACCTCTACCACGACCCCGAGCTTCCAGGGTGCTGCGCCTCTGCCTCCGAAGAAACATCCTGGCAGGAGCTGAGGTTGTCTGAAGGCAAGGCTGCTTGCAGGAATCAAATGGGGGTCTCTCAAAATTAGGGGTACCTTTTTGGCGGTCTCAATAACAAGGCCTATAGGATTCTGGGGTCTAAATTGGCCCCCCTATTTAGGGAAACTACAAAGTGACATGTCGGGCCTGTGCGGGATGAAAAGGATTGTTCTTACCCGACAGTTTTTTCCTGGGGAAAGCCCGCGATGGCGCAAAAATGAGAATGGGAATCATGAGAACAATAACAACAATGAAGAAGTGGGAATTTGGAACAGCTAGAAACCTCAATGAGACAGGACAACAAACAGAATAGCACTAGCAATGATGATTGCAACATCTCTGCTTGTCGGAACAGAGGTCATACAATTCACCGGGAGGTATGGAAATGATGGCAGGTGCAGGGCCCCACACTAGAGCCACAAGAAGGGTGTATCCCAATTTGCTACTCCTTCACTGGCATTCAATGGGCTTCAAAAGAAGTTAACGTAAGTTGTCTTTAACTAGTCTTGGAAAAGATTGTGTGGGGAAAGCTAGCCTGTGACCTGGGACAACGCATCCATCCTCTTGCAGCTCAACGCTGGAACAGCTTGGACTCATGCAATGTCCTGGATGTCCCAGACGAGTGTTTTCTCACAAGGCGTACCAACTTTTTTTGATTCCGGTTAGAGGACTCCAAACATACCACGCAGCCTCACAGTTCGGAAAAGCAACATTTACAAAGGACGAGATATCTAGTCTCTCATAAGTGAATGTTCCAAAGGCAGGCCAAGTTTAGTACAAACCAAGAAACTCTCAAATGCCAGGTTGCTGGCTATCAGCATTGGAGACATGGAACTGGCTGATTTGGGCATGCTCCCCAGAGCTGCAAGCTGGCAAGCTTCTTTTCCCAATTCCCTACGCCTCTGTCTCGCGTCAACGTTCCTGTGACACTGCAACGGCAACAGGCAGATGCCCCGCAAGGACACTGCATGGCCCCCCGGCGGAAACGGTTCTTCCAATGCGCTGACTGAGACAAACAGACCGTGAGGCATTGCTCTGATTGAAATGAACAATCCTAAATCCCCAGGCAACACGCTACGGGGGCTGTGGGGGTCCTAGTTGCGCAAGCAGGTCAGAACCCTATAAACACAAATGAACACCTTTCGGGCTGACAGCATGAACCTGAAAATAGCATTGAAGACGCTCTTTCCTGCTTGCATTACTCTTGGCAACACCCTGTTCAGTCTCCCAGCACTCACGAAGATTTCAGTGGAAATTTCCAAAAGGCCGTGTGTTTGTCCACATACCCTTCGTCTTGGGGGCAGCTGCCTGCCTGTCAACCGCTCACAGAGGGAAGCACCCTTCCGATCGCATGCGAACCTCGGAATGCGACCAAATGGGATTAGCGGCTGTTGGCACATATGTAACAAATCCTGCAGCAGATTTGAGGTTTGAAGAACCTCTCTATCAACTCAATGTCAGATCCTTTCAGGTCAAGGCACGCGTGTTTGGGACATGCATGAAATAATGGACGCCTCGAACACAAGGACAGGGCTTTCTGCAAGGGGCTTCAATATGCGGATCACCAGGATTGATGGGGAGCACCTCGCAAGTTTCAGTTCTGAGGAGCATTTCTGTACTGTGTCCTTCGTGCAGCGTGGCTGCTTTCTAACATGCTATTGGTTGTATATCTGAAGTGCTGAGTTACGGAGTTGAGTTAGGTTTCTCTTGCATTTGAGGTGTAGAGGAAGAGCAGTCTGGGAAACAGCCCTATGATCGTAGCTCTTGAGCTGCCAGGACTTTCAACCCTCAAAGCCAGCCAGTGGCCTGAGGTTTCGCCAAGGAACAGCTGGTTTGAATGCTAGGTGGGCTCCCCAACTCGGCTGGAAGAGGGACTCGCTGGCAGCCGTGAATCCTTGACAGAGCATGGAGGCGTACTTAAATCCAGACTACCCCCCATGGTAGAATTCATGGCTGAACTTTCATCACTTGGGATCTAGCTCACCTACGCAACGACTGCAGCGAGTTTGGGGGTCAGAGTTGCGCCCTTTATTGTCTGATCTACAGTGGCAACAAATGGGCTAGAGCATTCTCTGGATATCTCAAGCCTTGTGGCATTCGTCACCTGTGGCGCACGTAAATATTGCCAGTTGACCTCGTGCCTCAAAAAATCATCAGCATTGCCTACATCAAAAGAAGATTTGAAATCGTCTACTCCGCTAAACGCCAACATCCCGGCACTCTTCCTCTAACCTTCTCTTGTACGACTGATGAGACTCAGACGGCGCATCTATGTGTCCACAAGCAAGTTTGCTAACAGGAATCCTGCCGTGCTACTCCAAACTGGGATCCCGTGTCAGGTTTGTATCTCCAAGTGGCGCTAACTCCAGCTTGGAAAGTACGGAGATCCTATTCCGCAAGAGGCACCACCCACATTGAGGACACTCAGACCCGTGAACCAGGCTCGGACTCATAGCCCTGCACATGGGGAAACAAGGAAAGAGCCCTCTGAAGCATGCCAGAGGCTCAATTTGGCATTGCCTCCAAAATGCATAAGCGGGGCGGGGCGGTGATCTGTTCTGGGTTGCTTAGGGTTGGCTTGCAGTTGTCAAACAGCTGCCAACAATCATAAAAAAGGAATGCCTCAGAGAGAGCAAGAAAGAGAGAGCCTCCCAAATGGAAATCCTGGTAAAATGATGCTCAAAGACACTCCAACTTTCAGGAATTGCTGGCTTCAACTGTCAATGCTTAGCATGCAAAGGGGGTCGGAATGGATACTTTAGCTGTTAGCTGGGCTAAAATGAGAACGAAATGCTGCGAACCTTCCATGGCTCAAAGCCCAATACATCACTATGCAATTGAAGCCTTCCTGCTATGGCGCACATAAACAGGCAATCCCAAACCCCCCAGTCCCAAAAACCCTGGCCTGAGACATGAGCATGTTCGCAATCTTGCCTGGATGGTCGTGCGGATATCTCAGAGATGGGTCCCTTTCAAGAACCGTCTACATATATATGTGTGTGGTTATATACATGTATGTACATATATATATATATGTATATGTGTGTGTGTACAACTGTGGGTCATGCCAGGGATATGCACTTCGAGGACGTCCCTTCTCTGGTCAAAAATATCTGGGGGGCAGTAGGTCTCGGAGGGGCTTCGGGATTCTGTTTACGCATGTTTCTGCGAGCTCGATGGGTCTTGAAACAATATGGTTCGGCTCTTGCTTCGGGATTGTTGCCGTCGCTGGCAGTTTCACGTTTCAAGGTCCCAGGGCTTTTGGCAATGAAGGAGCCTGCCATCCGGCCACAACGGGCACACAGTCAAGCTGGTCCCAGGAAGGAACTCTGCCCTGGATCTGACGATTGATTTTTATCTCCACCGGATGGGCTGCAACACACAACAGCTGACCAAGCAAAAGTGGTCAATTGCTGTTGGAGATGCAAGCACATGCATGCTCCTGCTCTGAGTCTCCTTCCTTCCCCCCCGCTCTCTGTCTTCTTCGATGGGCGATAAAGGACACTTATGACACGTGCAGTCCCTCTCCAGCTACGCCCGCAGCCCCCGCATGCAACGTTCAAGCATCCGGTCCCACCCAAAAGTCCCGACGCAGCACAATTTAGGATCAACTCAGAAAAGCATCTCCGGATTTCCTCAGGCCTGGTCACAAGCTGATGACAAATTGTTCCATATCCTCTCAACCGGGCCTGAGACTGCACACATCACACCCAGGCCCCGGCTCTGCTCCTTGCTCTCGCTCTCTCTTCTTCACTTTCTTGTCCGGGACACAAAGACGCCCGAGAGAGAACGCTGGGGTTGCACCCCATGGCCCGAGCATGTCAAGTCAGTGTCCACGAGAGCCGGAGTATCAGGCATTAGCAGCACACATTGTTTACAGCTGGGCAGCAAGAAATCTTTGTGCCATTCCAGTCGATGTGTGCTCCCAATGCCTTTCCTACCTACTCCAGTCAGGTGCGACGCTTAGCACCCACCCAGCCCGTACTCAAGCCCTTGCTCTTTGGGTGTTGGCTTACTTGGGCACAAGGCCACAAACTCTCAAACCCCACCATGAAGCCTTCCGCGACAGCAAAAAGTCGTATGTGTTTCGCGTAGGGCATTCTGCTTGCCTTTCCTTCAAGGTACGCGGGTGCCTTGCTCGTGATCAGCGCCCGGAACAACAACGTAAGCAATCAGAAAGTGGCCATCAGGGTTCGCTGTCCCAGCAGCGCCTTTCCTGTGGACTACGAGCAGGTGGAACCACTCACTGCACTTGGGGCGCACACACCATTGTCCATCTACCACCTAACGAACATGCACTGCAGAAATGATCTGGGCATGATTTTGTCGACGACAAACTACGTTGCTACAGTTGCCAGTGTTGCTCGTCCGAAACTTTGTGAGCACTCCTTCGCTGTCTTTAAGCTTTAGGCGGGCCTCAGGCAAGAGCACAGCCCATTCGTTGGGCCCTGCTTTGGTCATACTCTGAGATAGGAATCTTGAAAGCGTCTAGGCCTCTCCTACAAGCAGAAAACAGGCGGAGTACGAAGGGAAGAGGCTCTCCACGTCCCTCTCGTGTTCCTATCCACGGGTCCCGACTCCTCATTGAAAGTATGTTAACAGAAGCAAAAGCGGACAAAATGACAATCACCACATATGGTTTAAACTTTTGGAAGTACGCTCAGTAATTGTCGTTCAAAAACATCAACCACATTCAGCGTCGTCACGAGGAAAACAGCAGTCGACTAGTGACTAGGGTAATAACACTTCGATGAAGAAACACTTTCTCTCCCTCTCTTGCTCTCGCTATCTCTCGGCTTTGCTTGGGATGAAAATGCTTTCCCCCGGCCCCGAGCGGCACTCCAGCTTCATAACCTCAACAGTCGGCTTCTTGAATCTGATAATGCGTGGGCGGAAAGTGCCCCGTGCATGATCCAAACAACACGTCCGCGCTTGCATAGCTCCTCTGTTTCCCTCCTCGCAAAAATGACGAAGTTGCAGCTCCTTGTTTGGCAACATCCGTTGTTCGTACACGGGCTTTCTTTTGTCATATGCTTGATAAGCTGAAGAGACATACATGGCAGCTCCAACTTGAAAGCAAAGGACACTCATAAGATGAACTATGTTTGCCTTGCCGCCGGGACCCCAGTCCAGCCCCTGAATACCGAAGAAAAAACTCAACCTGAAGGCCCGCGATCGCCGCTCAAACCCTTTCAAACCTTGTAGAACAAAACTTGAAAGCCCTCTGCTTGGGCCCAGCTGCCATGTCCAGCTCTTTCTGCAAGCTCTGCGGCTGTCCATCGCCTGTTTTGGCCGCCACCCTCGTCCTTGGAAAGGTTTCAAGTTCTCTGGGCGACACAACTCCAGCTTGTGACATCATGGCGGGCTAGTTGTTGAGAGTTTGGACACGTAGGTCATGATGAGAGTTTGGTAGGCGTTGAATTGAAGTCGCGAAAAGTGAAGATGTACCAGCTGCTTGCGGTTCCGAATCCTTCTTGAAGGCGGGGAGGATGGTTCAGCAGGAGGAGGAGGAGGTCGGCGGTGGGGGTACCCACTGCCTGCTACCGCGTCCCCCCTCGGCATCTCAGGGGAGGTCCGTAAACGTCATCGCCCCCTGCGCAAAAGATTCTAGCGGAGAACTAGACTAATGCAGCTAAGCTACACCAGAAGAAAAAAGAGAAAGACAAACCCACAGGGCCGAAAAAACGTGGCAGTGCGACCCGGCCAAGAGACAGAGAGAGAGAGAGAGAGAGATAGAGAGGGAGACAGATAGAGAGAGGGGGGGGCAGAGGCAGAGGCAGAGGAAACGGATGGAGACAGACAGGCAGGCAAAACGACAGACAGGCACAGACGGACTTGCGCGGCCAGAAGAGGAAGGTGAGCGACACCTCAAGGTCAAAGCACCAGGAGGATGCAGCACAACCATGCGTGTTTGCAGACAGAGCGACGCCACCTAGTATAGCAAGGACAAAAAAACAGCAGGCGGACAATATAGCAAGCCGGCGGCGCCAAGCAGCGGCCAGCATGGGAGAAGCAGACAAATCCTAGTGGCAGGAGACGCGCGAAAGCAACTGGCGCGGATAGCCAACGTGCGCAAGCAGACACCGAAATAAAAACGTAGTTTCGGCAGGAAACTGGCAACAGCCGCAGCACCGCGAACAGGCGCCGAACAGCGGCGGCCACAAAAGCAGAGGCAGGAAAGAATGGGTCGGCGCCGCCAGCAGGGTGTAGAAGCACAGGCGCGAGGAAACACATGAACAGGAGCCGACGAAACAACATGCATTACAAGTTGATAAACCCTGGAAAATCAGGGCTTGAAGAGTCAGTCTGTTGAGGGTCAAAAGATTTGAGACTGGACATGCAGCTGGTGAAAAACGATTGCCCGACACAAGAAGTTTTGAAGAGACTGCGGGGACAATGCAAATCATGATGTGGGGCTCACATTGCAAGCCACATCGTAATAGTGCCATCTGCTGACAAATTAACCTACAGGCCAATGGATACAGTTCCACGAAACGGACTTACATGTGCAGCTTCTGGATCATGACCGCGATTGCTGTTGATGGACCGATTCCTCTGCGGCTGTGGTTCTTTGGTTCTTTCGAAGGCTGGTAGGCTTCCTCTGGGATCACCTCCACGCCACCGTTGGGCGAAAGTCTGCCGTCCCCGTGGCGCTCGTCGCTGCTTCTCAGGGCGGCTGGTTTCCTTCGTAATTTGTGGTGCTGTCATGGCACGGGCGCCTCGCTGTCCAGGATCGTCCCAGACAGTTCCACAGCGAGTCTCGCTTCCACTGTCACCCCCAGTTGCACTCCTTGATCGTGTACATGAGGATGCTGCGGTGGCGGGGGTTGGTCAGCTTGGTTGGGCAGCGGTTCGCCCTCCGTCAGCAACTGTCTCTCTTCTTCTTCGGGCTTAAAAGGAGCACTACTGCCCCACTGGAGTGACACCCCAAGCCCGCGCAGGCGTGCGGTACTCATGAGGCCCAACATACCGCATGTGCATAGGTCACCTGTCTCTCTTCTTCTACGGGTTGCGCACTCCCTCTCGGAAGTGCTTTAGGGCTGCGCGAAACTGGGGGATTGAAGGCCTTAGCAGTCACAATGAAGGCAATGAAGATAATTTTACATGACCACATTCAGAGCTGTAAGCCAAGAGTTCTATCACACCTGCCCGCTAGCAAATGAAGTTATGCTTGCTCTCTCTTACTGTCCAACACCATGGTTTGGCAGTCTAAAATGCGGCCCGCCCCTGCATTTCAAAGGCCGGAATTCTCGTGTTTGCCGTAGGGACATGATGGGCAAGGATCCTTGAAGCATCACCCGCGCAACATTAGGACTCCTGCGGCCCCGATAACGATTGCAGCCCCAGGCAAGCAATTTCAATTTTTTCTGGAGCTTCTCCCGATTGGCTTCGCTACTCAGAGGGGCATCTAGTTAGAAAGCCACCCCGCTACTTACAATCCCTAAACCCAGGCTCCAGAAGTCAAAACCTTACACGAAGAGACAACTAAAACTTGAGGAGACACTTGCAGAACTTCCAAATGCCTATGAAGTCCCCTAAACCTTCAGCTAGGAATGCAGGAGAAATCCGCAAGAAAAACCAGGGCGGAGCTAGCGTCGAAAGTGTGGTGAACGTCAGCCTTGTTCTCAAGGAGGAGGCTCACAACAGTGGCGTGGCCCTGTTCTGCCGCCTGCTGCAAGTGTGGAACGCGTATAGGATTCAGAGATTGGGCTTTCCTAACGAGATGCAACTCATGTTGGGCAAACTCAATATAATGCTATATAAGCTATGTCCTTGCAAACTGAAAGCTTGAGGACTCCATGAGAAAGAGATGGCTATTCTTCTAGAATCCCAGAAATCCATATGCATTGCAACATCCAGCGGAACGCTGCAAGCCTCCTGTAAGGCAGATCGCTCATTACGGCCGTCGTGCGAGAAGCCATGCACATTGGCATTGTACCTGACGGGGCTTGGGGTGACTTTTGGGGTGACTTTGAGCTTGAGTATCTTTCTTAGGGAAATTGAACGTTGTATGACAGCTCTTTCAGCACATCTAAGGTGTTTTTAATTCATTTGACACCGTGTTGGCTTCTGCTATGAACGTACTTCACTGCGAAAGACTGAATTTGCGGCTTTTCTGCTGGCATCTCCAGCCTTAGAAGAGCTGAATTTCAGCTGACTCGTGGCGTCCCTAGAACCCACTTGGCACCCCTACTGCAAGCAGAGGAAGAAAGGAGGGAGGGGCGACAGACCAAAGGCACCAAGCAGATCCGGGGACGTAGTAACAAACGGCAAGGGCAATTTCAACATGAATCTCGTGGCAATGAGGTTAATCTGCATGTTGAAAGGCTGAGTAAAGTACTAACACTGGATCCGACCCCGGAGGACTCAAGAACCTAGAACTATATCCTTGCAGCTATCAGATGCCACAAAAGCTGCAAGAGGCATCGTCATATGAGCAGGGTTACGCCTACTAACACCACGAGTACAACGCTTACTGCTGTTGGTGCTGCTGTTGCAAACCGAAACGACGCTACACATCTTTGCCCCAACTTTTTTCAGGCCTAGGTGCTTGAGGAGAATCTCGCAAACTTCCGCGTGGCCTTCGCCGGCCGCAACGGAGAGCGGTGTCCATCCCTGAGGATATCAGAGGGGTGTTCAGGGCTTAGCCAGTTGTTTGTAAACTTTGTTTGGGTGGTTGGGGTTCAGGGCTTGGGCTTCAGGGGCTTGCAGCTTTTCTTCCCCGAAAATGCAGGTTCAGGTCCATAACATAAGAATCGCTCAGAGAGAGTTAGCGTTTATCAGACACCCAACATGGAAGGGATAAGGCCTGGTAGGGCATGAGCATGAGTGCCCCTCTCAGGCTTGGTGCTAAGGGCATGGAAAGATTCAGGGATTAAGTCCTGTCATGGCCGGTCCATCTCCTGGAGCTGCCTTCGTTCCTGTGAATCACTGAGTTTTTGGCAAGGTCCTAATTGCTGGGCTCACGTTCGCAGAACAGGGCACGCTCTGGAACATATATAGCTAGCCAAAAGCACGGTCCTTCTTGGCAAACGGAAACTCGAAAGGCAAGGTAGAACAACACATACGTGCCATGTAGCACACCTGACAAAAAGGACATGTACACATCAATAACCTGAGAAACAGAATTACATATCCTTTGCCCAGCAATCCAAAGCTTTAAGCCCTGACAGACCCTGACAACACCTGAGGTTAGCCTCCAAAAGGCCTCAAGTGCAGATGGCCTTCCATGACCCCGAAGAAGCCGGGCGGACCTCACTTTTTTGGACACTCCCAACCCACCTTATCGCCGCCATCATCTGCATCAGCGTTGTGCTTGAGCAGGGACTCGCAGATTGCTGTGCGGCCTTCAAGACCGTTCACCAACAGCATTTTGAAGTGTGAGGCTTTGGAACGGCAAGAATGCTGCATGGCGATCATCTTTAGGATCATGGATTTTAGGAGGCTACAAATTGTAGGATTCAGGCGCCGTGTCGCCTTCGCGGGCTGCAACCAGGAGAGGCGTAGAGCCATTCTTGCCTTGCTTCTCCAACTTGCTGGTGCTGAGAGAGCTGGAGAAGGATTTTAGGCTTTAGGGGAGGACATCATATGCAGGCTTTCAGAGCAATCCAGATGACTGATTGGGTCATGGGGTTTTTGGGGTGTGCGTTTCAGGGTATTCAACGGGAGTGGCGCAGTCAATGTTACTGCCATTGGCGGGGATTTGGGATCAAATAAGGACCACGATCAGGATCGACTCCTCCACCCCCCCCTTGAGGAGCAGCAAGGTGCGTTGTGTTCGGGAAGCCTCACGTAAATGCCATGTGAAATCTGAAGGAAAAGCCCAACGAAGCTTGAGTTTGGAGATGCAAGCTGCTCAGCGCATCCACGTTGGCCTTCACGGACAGCAGGAGCTCGCAAACCTCTGGGACGCCCAGGTAGCAAGCCTCATGCAGGGCTGTAAACACACCCCAAACCTCCAAAACCCGGGCATGCACCTACCTGCACAGCAAGACCACCCCTGGCCTCATGTAGGGGAGTGTAGCCATAGGAGCCTTTCGCGTTAAGGATGCCGCCCTTCTCCACGATAAGCTTGAGGATAGTGGTAGAGCCGCTGTGCGTGGCCTTCTAAAACAGAGACAGCATACGTCAAGTACACAGGACCTTGTAGACCTCCTTCGTCTAGAAAGCATAGAACGCTTTTGCCCATCTGGTCTTGGCGCAAAAGAGGGACTCCGCTGACTGTCACTTCCAGATACCGGAAGCCCTATCGGTATCCAAAGCACGGGGCCCAAAAGTTTTGAGAAACCCCGATTCTATTTTGACAACTCACTGTTGCCAGCCTTCTGAAGTAAAGTCGCCCCTTCAGGATCCCGCTGCTTCACACTCCTTAGATGGCTGGAAACACAGAACGAAGACAAGACAAGACTTGCATAATGGCCATGGTAAACATTCCCACCTTGCAGCGCCTCTATGTACTGAGGACAAGCCATCATGATGGCACAAGACATCCTGATCCACAGCAATTCACTTTCCACTTCTTGGAGCTGTTTGGCCTGGCTCCTCAAAAGCCCTGCGTGCCTACGTCCTCCCTCTGAGGCTCCTTTATACCTTCCTATCACCCTATGCTCCTGCGGATTCTGAGGGCTTTCCGTTCGAGTGTCATTCCCTGGGACAAAAGAATCCACACGCTCTCCGCGTCCCCACGTTCACAAAGATCGAAGAGGTCCGCGAAGACCTTTGGCTCTTTGGCTTTGGCGTACTGGGTACCCTTTGCCGAATTCCATTGCTTTGAAGCTAAGATTGGCCGGAAAAGCTTGGAATAAAGAAAGTGTTGCACAATTCTCCCTAAACATGGTTGAGAGGTATGCCATCTTGCTCTGTTGCGAAACCAGTAAAGCTGCTCTGCATCCGAGACCTGATTTACTTGTTTCCCTATCTGAACTTAGGGACTCAAAGTCCTCCAAATGAACTGCCCCAAAAGCTGGAAATCCTCCAGCCCAGACTCAAATCGTGCTCAACAACTTTTGCACCCAAGCTTTGTGGGTTCCTGCTACAACTCTGTAACACTAACGTCGTTTGCCGTCACCACCGCCGCCACCGCCACGACCACGACTGCTACTTACCATCTGCACGTGTAACGTTCAAAGATGACCAAAGCGGAAGCTAGGGACCAGGTTCAGCTCCTCAATAAGGGCTTGCTGCGTGGTGTGCAGCTTTAGCTCGTCCAAGCGCCACATGTAGATCTTGGAGGCTTTGCGGAGCCTCAGAGGAGCGGCAGGCGGCTTTGCAGGCTCTTCTTGGGGAGCGTGTACGTTGAAGCTAGCAAGAATACAGGGCTTGAAGCGGCCCAGACAAAAGGTTTCTGAAGCACCTTAAAAATACAGTCTTTGCAATACCACCATCCAGCCGTAAGAGCCTCGGGATATACAGACGAAAGTCCCTAAGACAAGAACCCCGGTCTTGAGACACTGCCAAAAAGATTGGATGCACAGTCGGACCCAAACTCTGCCTATGTAATCAGGGCAGAGAAGCTTGGGCCATGCGGACGGAAGGGCACGGCAAAGACAGCTCAGGGCATTTTCCTGCCACCGGGTTGGGGCAGGCCGTCCAGGTGGGTTCTATATCTGTTCAGAACTGAACCCAAAGAGAATCAAGGTCTGTTCCCGGCTAGATATGGCGCCTAAGGATTCGGGTAGGTCAGTCACAATCCGCCGTCTCCCCCCAGGTTTCCCCGGACTCCTGTTTCAAGGCCAGGCTCAGCTTCGTCATCACATCGACACGGCACAGGCTCTGAGGCGCAAGACCACAGGAGCTACCACCTGATCGTGTAAGCTGAGCCAGGAGGAGCCGCGGCAAGGCAAGTCTGCTCCTTCAAGATGAAAGAAGACAAAGTAGTAGTAGCAGCACTGGTAATAGTAATGGTGGTAGGAGTCAGTGTTTGTAGAACACAATAACATCAACAATCCTGACTTGTGGTACGAAGTTGCCCCTAGACTAGCAAGCAGACGAGCGTGTGCCTCTCAGGCAAGAGAACAGACCCTCCAACTTCGACCGACCTCCATCATCGCCGGCTTCTGCACCTTTAAAGCACCTGTGCAACGTCTCACCGTGCGACAACAGACAGGACGATGCACTTGAGCCTCAATCATGTGCTCTTCAATGGGGATCCACTAGAATTGGGAGAATTTAAGGAAATCCCATATGGCTTCAGCACCCAAATCGTAAAATATTCAAGCGGTTCCCGAAAATGATGATAACGCACTACGTTGAAAAGTCCTGCGCTTTCTGAAAATGATGTCCCATCATGAAGATCCTGCTCTTTGGGGGTAGCTACGTGCCAGAATGAGAATTGTTAGGAAGCAACCGAATCTCCAAAAAGAGATACGGGACACCAATCACAATCCCTGCGATAACTCCTTACACAGCTTGCTTATGAAAGCGGACCCTGCTTTGATATGCAACCCGGGTTAGGTATTACCTTCGTTTGCATCCTTCTTGTTAGGAGTTACCTGAGGTCAAGACTCTCCAGGACTTTCACTTCTTGCTCCAACGGTGTCTCGACGGTCTCGATCTCCTGGCCAGGAAGGAAATGCTTGGACGAGAAGACTGTGCAGAAACGGAGCTTCACCCCTGATGATGACCAAAAGTAAACTGGCATGAGCAACAGTGGGCAAAGTTACAGTGCTCAATTGCAAAAGTATGACCGAACAGCAGGCAGCGAGGGATACTGAAGACAAACATAACAAACCTGTCAAGAACAAGAAACCACAGTCCACCGAATCTCCATCACCCAAACGCCAGACCCATCTTATCTTTACCATGTAGGGGCCTGGCTGAACCTAGCTGATTGCACAATAACCCCGCTGCCATCCCTGCAAAACAGCCCACAGCCTTTCCTGCTTTAATGAAGAACAGTCAAAACGTGTCTAAACCCCACTTGGCGGCAGGAGCTGTATGAGTCCTACGTCCCATTACAATCTCCCCTCGCTTAACCGAGGCGCTGTGATCATCACTGCTTGCCCCGTGCATGCAGTGTAGCCATTTGTAGTAGGGAGCACGTCCTCCAACACAAGCAGGGTGAAGGCAAAACAAAAACAATAGCAACCGCAGAGCATGCCTCGTAAACTAAAACCAAGACGGTGCGCAATTGTCATGGGACACTTTCAGGACTACCTATTGGGGGGGGGGTCTGTGTTTTGTTTGGCTTCTTATCTCCGCCGCACTTGTTTCTGATTCGAATGACACTTATGATATAGGCGACAGGTGCCATGAGAGGGAATGAGATGCAGTAAGCTGAAGCCAAGCCATGGTGTTGCACCGGTCCAGCCACAACTTGCGAAAAAGCTTCTGCTCTGCCGGACTAGATTTTGAAGAGTTGAAATATTGGTGGCCTTCGACGAAGGGTCCGTGTTGGCCTTGATAGATTCCCATGACAACGCCAGCATGATTTTGAATGGCCCATCACAGCATTTGGGGTGGCCTCGTGTTAAAACCAAAACGGGTCCAATGCCACCTTGGCTCCACATGCCAAATCCCTCCAAAAACCTGAACAGGCCCCAGGTTTGCCTGCTAAATACCTGCAAACTCACTTCAAACTTTCAGCCGAAACTTCTGCCCACCAATCCTCTCCCGCTCCCTGGTGCCTCTTTGGGGGCCTCTGCCAAGGCGGCTGCCAACTTGGCGCCAGGCGCTGCCTCTCAGAACCCTAACAACTGGCGTCTTGCATCGTCTTGCTCCTTCTCCATCTGTCCGCCCCTTCTTGTCGGATATCAAGGGCTGCAAAGGATTTTCATAAACATATCATGTGGATGATGCCAGGATGGGACGTCTCTAAAACAATGCCTGCATTCTCTTGATAGATAAACAAAGGTTCGCCTTTCTGAAGAAAGACTAAATTTTGAGTTTGCCTGCGAGGGAATGCGCAAGTTTCAGATGGGCAGCATAGGGGTCTACCGTTTGGAACTTCAAGCCGTCTGGCCTGCACAGATTTGAGGATTGCATACGCAGGTCTACATGATTTTAATCAGTGAGTTAAAGGACTTCGAGGGCAGATCCATAAATGCGGGGTGAGACTTATGAAGATTGCACTGTCCGAGTCTTACCTTCACATGAGGGGCTTGCCGTGCAAAAACCATCTATGGACCTGTACATAGTGGGTAAACGGTAAACAGCATGTGTAGCGATTATGGAGTTCTGGCTCCAGGAAACCAAGCTTAAAAAGCTTGTCTTGAAAAGCCTTGAAAGCATGCACTGCGGGCTCCATTCTGCTGGCTCTACCACTCTGCTTCGACACCCCCCCTCTACCAACTCCTCTTACCAATCAACACTGAAAGCCAAAATCCGAGAAACGTGCGGTCGATTTCAATCTAGAGCCACCAGAAAGGACGGCAAAATTGCAGAATAATTTCGTCTACACTCAGGGCCTTGGGCATGGGCTCAATATCCACGCGTGGCGCGGAAGGCTCCGGAGCTGGGGGAGTGACAACGGGCCTCGCAGCGGTAGAGTTCAACGGTTCAGCACTTTGGGGCAAGGTTTGTATACGTTTTTTTTATCTTGCGTGAGACTTTGGGTTGAGGGTTTTTTTGAAGTTTGGCATTTGGGAATAGAAGCACCTTTGACTTGCAGAAACAGATTATGGCTTGCCTAAGAATGCTTGACGGGACATTGCTTTGTTGGCAGTGTCTATGATGTTTATGATTTGGCGGAGTTTGGCTTCCTAAAGGGTTGCTCATGATAAACGAAGCTAGAGGTATCGGATCAGATCTTGCTTCATGCATTTCATGATGCTTCTCAACGGTGCCTGACGGCAGCCGGACACTCGGGACAAGCAGGGCTTGTAACCCGGGAGAAGGCTCAAGGCTTTGTGAATTTTATGAGGTACCTCGTCTATGACGCGACTAGATGCCCTGGAAGTCCTTTGGAGGTACCAGGACACGCCGTTAGCGCGCCACTTTGTTCCGGACAAGTTCCACGGCATACAGCTGCTAGGACCTGCTAGATATGAGGGGCATGGTCCAGCTCTTATATCCCATAACGTTTGGCGGCAAACGAATAAAATCAAAAGACAAACGCCCTTGACAGCACTCAGCCCTGAACCTCTCAACTCTGTACGCTCGGCCTGAACCTAAACCTAGACTGAGCACCGCAAAACTCCAGTCTGAACTCCTAAAGCAGTCAAACTGGCCTTTGCCCGGGGTCTGCGGCGATGAGGCCGCCGAAGCAGTTGGAACAGCCCTGGAAAAGCCACAAATCAAACTTCAACGCTATGCCCTAAATCCTATTTTGCTGGATAAATTACGGCCCTCCCTTTCGGAACGGGTCACATGAGTGTGGTGCATTGTGGGGATGTGCAGATGACCCCGTCGTTGAAAGGGCATACCCCCAACACGCCTTTGAAGAGGCCCCGTGCGTCGGAGGTTCCCAAATCGGCTTCAAGCATATTTCCCATCAAGGTGAGGACATGATCTGCCATGGGCGCGTGTAGTGTGGGACTGCCGGCCCGCTATCCATGGACTGATCATCACACTGACTACGATTGTCTGCCTCCATTGTTTTCTGGCATAGTCTCTACTGGCGAGCTCAGTTAAAGCAGCCGCTCCTGCTGCTGCACCATTACTACCACTACAACTGCCACCACCACCGCCGCCACCGCCTCCGCCGCCGCCGCTGCAGCCAAACCCACCACCACCACCACCCTCACCACCACCCTCACCACCACCCTCACCACCACCACCACCACCACCACCACCACCAGCACCACCAGCACCACCAGCACCACCAGCACCAGCACCAGCATCGGCACCACCACCATCACCACCACCAGCACCGGCACCGGCACCAGCACCAGCACCACGCCACCGCCACCGCCACCGCCACCGCCGCCGCCGCCGCCGCCACCACCACCACCACCACCACCACTCGTTGATTGGGTCGTTTCGCTCTTTATTACACGGATACAGAAGTGAATGAATGCATGGAGCGCGAATGCATGGGTGGATGAAAGCATGACTGGGTGAATGGGTGAATGATTGACTAATTGAATCTAGCAAAGGCAAGGAAAGAACAAATCCGCTTTTCATTGAGTGGGGCGAAGAGAACACGGAGAACGAAACGAGATGAATACTGTGCCTATCCCTCCTTCCTTCTATTGATTAGCTTTAGATATGTTCATAACATCAGCCAGCCAATAGATGCTAGAGCTACAATCAAAACCGTACTCCAGAGCGAGTATCATCTGGTTCCACAGTCCCATATTAGTTTCTTAGGAGGTACCGGTCGTTCTTTCTTTTGTTACCGACAGAAGCCACCCGAAAGGAACGCATCGAAGGGAGAGAAATATACCATGTCACGTAGTTTTCTCTTCACCAATCAGCAGTCGCTTATGCGTGAGAAAAGCAACGCACTTCTTGTACGAGTCTGAGGCTAACGAATGAACTGTTCGCCAGAAACTCCTGAAACTAGAGCTGCCGCGGCCAGGGAATTAACTTTGATGGCCCAACTAGTTAAGTTTGCAAGTATTCGCCTAGCTTGCTACGTAAGCAGCCCAATAGAAAGATAAAGCGAAAAAGAGTCTAACTATGTGTCTTATTCATGATCGATAGGAAAATTCACTGTACAACAAATCAAAATGAGAGACAGAAGGAACAGCCTAGATTTCATGCAGTTTCGACCTGGGGTTTACAGGTTCCCTAGATTCAGGAGTTGCCTTGGGTTTCTCTGTGTTTTCTTTTCTCGTTGTTTCATTGTCTCTTTCAGTCCTCTCACTTGTTCACGGTTCTGTTTCCCTCCCTTCACTTCACTCGGTTCGTTTGCTCGTCTTCTGTCACTTTTA